AGGGACCCACGGACCTCCTGAGGGTGCGAACTGACGCGCAATTCGCATGGAAAAATTTGACCTCGGCGACCTATCATGCCTCAAAGCTGGCGGGTCCGGCGATCTCCGCCCACCGATCATCTGATCACTCGCCGTAGTTCAATACGTGGCGAGTGATTAGATAGCTGAGAGAGCGTAGTGTTGAAGAGGGCACAGCGATGAGAGTCGCATCAATGCTCAAATCAACGGGCAAGGAAGGGGTCCCATTTCTCGGGTTCTGGGCCGTTTCTCATGGTTCTTCCTTCTTTCGTGTACCACTCACCATCCCTAGGTTAATTTGAAATGGGTTGCTTTTTCATCGTGAATTCGTCCTTTAAAGACATTACCAGAACCGCCATCGCCCAGCGCCCTTCAGCCATCGCGATCACCCCTTAGGCACTGTTTCAGTCGGGAGGGCATCCAACCCAGGCGAAACAGCTTTTCCCCGGGCCTAATCAACTCTTACCTGCTATCTTGCTTTTATCGTGCCGGTCATATAACACAAGGCTAATTTTCGAGCTATACCTGACACCATCTTTGAGTGGCAATAAAGTAGCCAATTCGACCCTATCAGTGCATCTCTTGTGCGTTTGGAAGCACGTTATTATCAACTATGCATTCTACAGAATCCACTAACCGATTGGAGGCTCCTTGAGAATCTGCGATGTGGTGGCATTCAACGTTCGCACAAAAATGATGCCCTTCTCACCGTGTAGTTCACCTTCGCTTGAATCCACAGAAGCGTGTATCTACAAAAGAAGACCTTTGTCACTACCAACGTTATCACAACAGTGTTATCAGTGCATTTCGAGGCACTGCTGGTGAATTGAAGTACTTTTGGAGCGAATGTCCTTACCTCAACAATATAGACAGAATTCGGGAACAGTCCAGAGAGCTCAGATTGGGTGGTGTGACTGGGAACGATCACGGAGTGACGATCCCTGAAATACTCACATATGCACAACTGTTCATCTCTGGAACAATCGATATTGATTACAATTTGTTCATTTCGTGAAATCGTGAAGAATCACGGTATGCATTGGTAGGCTGACACTGACTCCCTTGCTAGATCACCCCTGCTAAGATAGGGAAGAGGTCCGTTGAAATTGGATTTGTAAGTACTATTACCATCAAAAACTGCTTCAAACAAGGACTGTAAGTATGCCTGTATGTAAGAACAGACAAAATGTTTCGGAATGAGATAACTGTCCCTTGAGCAATTAAATGAATGACACTTCTTTCGCAATTCCCTTCCCATTCCTCGCCCGGAAGTGTGGCAAATGGTCCCATAGAAGTCATCTCGCGGCAACGCGATGACTGTTCCTTATCGCGCGCAGTGCGGGTGCGGCCTAACGAAGGCTCATTAATTTTAGCGTGAGCGCGCATGGTGCCCCATTCCGCACTTCTCTATGAATTCAATTCAATAGGGCTCTTCATTTACAATTTCACAGGAAAAAAATCGCGATGTTACTTGCTGCTAATGGAGAAACAGAGATTCACGAGTGCTTACCGTCCATCGATACCCCAGGCCTCTTCTTCTTCATCAAGACTTCTTTTCTCGTGGGTGGTAGTGAGCGTGGCACGTCGTCGCATCATTTCTTCAAAAGCATTCGCTTCGGAAGCGGATGACACGGCCCATGAAAGCTGAAATGACACCTCTAAGTTGACAGGCGCAAAAAAAAAACAACAAATGAAAAGGCGAAATAAGAATTTTACGGGCTTTCCCAGTGGGGTGAGACAAACTTGTGGGGCTCTTCCTACAGGGCAATTCTTTTAAGAAGAATTACACTCCGATTTTACTCTAACGTGAGTGACAAGCAAATTCTTTTCGATAGAGAGCTGTGCGTTTAGCGGATGGATTTGCGAGCGTTCGCGAAGCGGCGGATCACAAACGACGCCACAATGCCGAAAAACCGATTCAACATATCGCGAATTTCGCGCAACTGACCGAGGAAATTAAATGACGAATGGACTTGGAAGTGATTTTTTCTGGAGTGCCTACGGGCGTCGGTTTCGCAAACCTCCTCGCGGACATGACACGAGAATTACGATTAATGAACCACATGAGATTATTGAACGTGCTGTGTTGCGAACTCGACTAAACTTATTCGGAAAACAATCCAACCCCAGTATAAAGCTCTAAGGAAAGGATAGCCACGGTCTTCGTTATCATGGACAATATGCGGTACCTGATAATTCTTGATGGGTAGGTCGCTGGCCGGCGGTGTCCATTGAACGATTTGATTCCAAAGGCCAATCGGGGTGAGCTTTGAAGCGCCAAGGGATATGTCACGTGGCGATGATGGAGCCCGAGCTTCTGAAAATTCTCGAAAATATTGATCAATCAGTATCTCGAACCTGGTACTAGTTTAGCTTTATTGTATCTAATCATAAGTTCTATTTTTTGTTTTAAATAACTCTTAAGATGAAATCAAATTTTGAGTCATTCAACGCTTAGACGTTTAGTTTCGTAATACCTATGTTGTAAAAATCAATAAAAACCACTTCCAGGTTACCTTTTGAAAGTTTGAAGGGCTGCGATGGCTGGCTGAACCCAAGGCTTCCATGGACGCTGACGGCGCCGACTCGGAACTGATAATAACGACCAGGTGACAGTAGATGCTTCAGAATTGCATATGGCTTGTTTCGCTGCAATGATCACCTTGCACGGTTATCGATTCATTGATTTTGTAGGGTTTCGGTGGAAATACTCACCACAGTGACTGTTTGCCATTCGGTCATGCTCTCACCGTCCGGTTGCAGACCCCATCGCCATTGAACCACGTAGAGATTTGAGTTGGCGGCGTTTTGTTCACGGCTCAGCTTCTGCATCACCCATCGAATAATGATGGAGCTGAAATGATTAGAGTAGCCATCACAGGAAATCGATAAGTGATTATACTTGAATAAAGAGGTTGTCTGCCGGGATCCAGTGCATTTGTTTGTGAGACTCGTCTACAACTTTATTGCTGAACTCAAACGAAGCCAGACAGTCAGAGCTCAAGGGAAGCAGAGCAGGTGATTTCTGCGTCCGTTGCATCAAATCCAGGGTTCTTATATGATACCGGGTATATGTATATATTGGTTCTTCACCTCAAGTCACGTCAGACCAGGATACCCTGATTTACTCGTAGCAAACCTAAGCTTAAGCCTAAGCCTATATGGCTAAGCACGAGTGATAGGGAAGCATAAGCCTAAGCCTAAGTTTTAGCGTAGGCCTAACCTTAGGCTACGCTCATCGTGCAGCTCTGGTGGCCTGAACAAGGAAGGAAGAGAAGTGATCAGTTTAATCACCAGACCTCCTTGTTGAGAATTTCCTCGACCGTTTTTCACCCTGGTGAAAACCCATTTTTCTGCCAGTCATAAAAAAGAATCTGAGATAGAGCCAGCTAATTGGGCAACTTGGCGCTGATAATTCAACGGTTGGCAAAATGTCGGCTGACTGTGCCTATTTTAGCACTCCACCCATAACAACCTGTGCCAAGAACTGCTAATTTTTAAACTGCTGTTTCTAGAGAAGATTTTTTTCACTCCTTTCATGAAAAAACTTCAGCTGTTGGCCGAAATAAGGTCTCTATCAATTTACCTACCGTCTGCTGCTGTTACTTGGGGGAATAATGGATTGCTTCCCTGGAATACTGCAATTCACGCTCGCTTAATTCAGTAAGATAACCCTAACCTAACTCTACCAGTATCAATTGAATAGATGTGACCTCAGCTCAAGCCCTGTAAGTCCCGTACATGCCCACTTACCGTTTCCTCTTCCGTTCCTGAACGGAAATCGAGCTCGGTATGGGCAACAGTCGTGGATCTCGTCCTTTCGGGAGCGCGCACTGTCGACTGCAACCATACGAGCAGCATTTTCCCGTTTCTGGGCAGTCGCCGTCGAGATGGCACAGCGCTGTGCATTCCTGAAAGCCCATTCATAATTGAGATCAGGAAATCGATTGGTAATAATTGATCGATTTTAGGGCTGTTCCACATTTGAATTCATTTTCATTTTTCTTGCGACACATTTGAAGAAATATGAGGTCTGAAGAAAGACCTACATAGTTGGACTGATTGGCGAATTTCGGACAAGCGCCAGGCTTTTCTGTGAAAATGCGCTGCAGATAGTCGCACGACTTTTCGCACACACTGTTTTCTGCCGTATCCTGGAAGCGATTTCATTGACTGTTGGTAGAAACTAGGAAAAAAAAGGGTGAAACTCACTTTGCAGACGGTATCTTTACAGGAAATGACGTCGGTGAAGCTTTCCCGACATGGCTCGGTGCACTGAAAGCAATCGATCATTCAATGGCTGACTAAGAGCTGGTTCACAGTAAGGTTCATTTTTGAATCGTGTAAAGTGCTCCTAGGAGTGGGTATTGCGACCAATGGCTCCGAAGCCCAAAAATGAAAGGCAGAAGTGGTGTACTGACACGTGGAGCTGCCTCCACGCACACAGTAAGGGATCTCGTAAGTAAGAATCCGGGATCCTGCGTTGTCCAGGTCAACCCAGTCTTCTTTCCCTCCCGAAATCATTTAATTGGTACCAGACTTGTCTGGGAGGATAAAAACACTGACTTGCACATCGGCTGGCCCCCGCAAGTCATTGTATAGGCCACATCGCATTCAAATGATGCTACTATTCTGAATGGAAAGTAGAGTGCGTGGCTCATCCCAAAAATGGGTTAATCGACTTCAAAAGCTTTCGTTCCCTTTTGGAAACCGAAGACGTACGGAAATCATACAATCATGCGAAGGACTGAGGTGTGGGTAAAAGGGAAAATGGATGGCCAAGTGGTGGTTGACGCGCTACTGCCAGGCTAAAGTCATTCAGAAACCTTTCATCATTAGAAGCCTTCCAGTGGAAAGTAGAGCCATTTTACCTTCCTATGAAATTTTTGAATGAGCTACTAGGCGTGTTATTGAGAAGGTATCATGACCATCCAATCACCGCCACGTTATGAAGCAGATGGCTAGTGCTTGGCGCGGTCGACAAAGCAACAACCGAACTTAAGTTTTTGTTTTTTGCGACACGGTAATGCACTTCTCGGCCAGATGGGTGTAGTACTAATGTCTTGGGAGAACCTTTTTTGAAAACTCCTACAATATCCGCTCCCTTTCCGGCAGTCGAAACTACCAATTTAATCTACGCAAAGTTAGTGAAACTGAAACGATGGCATCCGTGTGAAGCGATCCCTTCAGAATCGTCGTGGCCAGTCACACTCTCCTGGCGATTTTCATTAGCTGCGTTTAGCTATGGTAATTGTTAATTGTGGGTGAGAAGGGCATTATGCGGTCATTCACTTGTCCCACCCGGGTGGCTCGTAAACCACTTTAACGCCACTGCCCCTGGGCCAAAACAACTCGAGATCACCGCAAAAGCCTGATGAGCGAGGCCAAGCTGAGCAGACATCTTCGTGGGACTATCACCGGCTTATCACTGGTATCACTGAGCTTTGAAGCACCTTGTTGGTCCGTAAATGATCACCAGGTCCGAGATTATTTAGTCCATTGTCACCTATCACGTAGGTATTATAATTTCAGTTGAGCAAGTAAGGTGTAAGAGAACGCCTAAGTACGGCGTAAGTGCTGCGCCAATTTCTAAGAAAGTGGGGCAATTCCAGTGTTGATGAGGTCCTTACTCAGAAATCGGAAACTGATCAGAATAGCTCATGGAGTTTTTCGCTCAGAACAGGAATAAGGAATATATCCAGCTCCCTGAATCTGAAGAAACATTATCTGCCAATGAGGCAATCCCAGAGCCGTCTCAATAACCCTAAGAGCTATTTATGGCGGACGATAACCGAGTTGGTGACGATCCTGACGAGCGATCAGCGCGCCAATGCGGTCAAGTGGCTTTTACCGCCGTCGGAAAAATTGATCTTCTCCGACCCTCTCACGTCATCTGCTGGCTGTGCTATCAGTTCCCAAACGCCTAGATGGCAAACAGCTTGACTGAGCAGCACTTGAGCCGCCAGATGATCGCAAACACTCCATGCAGTCGTCTACAGTTCAAGGATTACCACGGGTATTGGACTGTAGTGTGGTATTTGGCGATCAAGGCGAGATTTCCCCAGGACGTTTCATTACCCAGTCAAGCTAGAACGGCGGTAAAAGGGTCGAAAGGGGCCAGTACCTGGACGAGTCACTCGAAAAGTTCATCATCCGTGTTGCTGACTAGAGGCCAGGAGGGCCAGCTGGCTACCGAAAGTAATTCCATACTTCTGAACCATAGGATTGTCGCGCTCCCATTTCCGCTTTCCGACTGCCGAAAAGACCGAGAATCCGCAGGGTGTGGCCGATCCTCCCTACAGATGATACACTTCCCTCGATTTCGAAGTGTCTCTGCCTACAACGTGATCTGCTAAGATATCTGACCATTTGAGACTGGGTGCCAATTCGCCATCACATTCCGAATTCCGATTTCCGCCAAAGGTCCAATTCCAGGGTAGTTATCCGTATCAGCTACCGACTTGAGTCGGAATTATAAACAACCAACAACAAGACCTCCTAGAGACCACCATGTGCTCTTTATGTCTTTTCTTGGCC